ACCTTCTGAATTCTACACCGTGGCACGCACTATGGACACTTATTTCCGAGGAAAATTCATATAAACTGACAATTCGTATGCTTTACGTCAGGACTGTTTGATAAATTTTGAAGCGTTTAAATGGAGTGAGACGCTAGAATCAACTTAACCTCAGTCCACAGGCCGTGATTGGCGTACTTCCCGCTCTCCACTTTAAACTTCTCATTGGATATTTGACCACTAAGTGCCTAGGGTGGAGCCGTTATATTCAGAAGGCCGGGTAATCGACACTTAACGCTTGTGTGGACGGTGCAAATGCGTCTGATGATCCTCGTATTTTGGCAGTACGATTCCTCTATCGTTCATACTCTACCGTTAGAAATACTACAATTCCTTATTCTCGGATTAGTTCGCGATACTAATCGTAGCAACTCAGACGCCTTTGGAGAGTTCTCAATATAATATCGTGCCAATTCAAGTTTATTAGGGGAAATATAGGCAACGCCTTCGAACGCCCTATTGGTACACAGTAGTTAAGAACCGCATCGGCATAGCCGAACATTTCAAAGAAAGTCGTTTACATAATTGTAGGCGACTACTCATTTGTTCCAAGTAATATAATCAAATGTGGGGATGTCAGTTAACACGATCCAGCAGGTGTAAGTGAGCAAAAAGAGCAGACAGTGAAAAAACTCCTAAGGCATGGCTCGGAATTCAAAAAATGTAATGTCGTTTGTTGTTTTTTAGGAGAAAAACTGTCGCTCGTGGTAAAAATTATGTGAAAGATAGGACCAACATGCTGCTTTTAATGTTGGCGGCAAGCCAGGGGGTCCATCCGGAGAAATATCTTTATCCGAAGGGCCACACGAGGAGGATACTGCAGTCACGAGATCATCCCGAAGAACCGGAGATGCGACCAGCATATGTCCTTGCTATTTGCCGCGTCTGCCGATAAGGTGCCCTATCCGAATACTATGGTAATTAATCAAGGCTACCACCTTAAGTTAGCTATTATACAGGGTGTCCCAGAAGTAACTGGCCCTTTTGATTTGCCAATAAAACGAAA